TCTCCATGCCATACTTAGTTACCTCCTCTTAAATGGTTTCAGTGGTCATGCACTGACACAGCACTCCCCACTCCACTTGTAAGAAATTTAACTTTTAGATAACAGAATTTTGTCTTTTTCAGTAATGAACACTACAATATTTATCTGGTAATAAACAATACTCTGATGATGATATTGCTACGTCAAAAGTACTTGGAAATAAAAACAAAATATGTATCAACACGGCGATTTCCTCTTGTCCTTCAATAATGACACTGAAAAGCTTGTCCGCGAATATGGAAGGATCCTATTGGAAATAAGTAGATAGAACATGTCTAAATTATTCAACAAAACATGTCTCAAAGAAAACATGCTGCCGAAATATACACGTGTGTGTGTGTATATATATATATATATATATATATATATAGGTAAAATGAGAATTAATGCAGTATAATTCCAATGTCCGTATATAGTGAGGTCAACACCTAGTGCCAAAAGTTTTAGATGTAATCGTCAGGCCAAGAAACAGACTTGCTACTAGGTGTTGACCTCAATGTCCACTTTTATATTTGCATATGCTCAGTCTCTGATATTGAGCACTTTAACTCATATATATAGCATACCTTAAAACTATGTTTTTATCATATATATTGCTTTTTTAACATTGTTTGAGTTTTTCAAGTTACAAAGTTGAACTTGCTTTTCAATGAAACTTTGTCGGAACTTTTGTGTGTTGTTATCTTGTAAGCTGCATGATTATGCAATAAAGCTCAATACAAATTGTCTCAGGTGAATCAATAAAATCTGTTGAATATTTTATATACCTAGGGAGCGAAATGATTTCTATTCAAAAGAATGTGAAATTTTGCATAGCTAAAGCCTGGGCCACCTTGAATAAAATGGCTATAATCTGGAAATCTGATCTACCAGACAACCTCAAATTCTTTTGAGCCATTGTAGAGTTGGTGTTAATGTATGGTACCACTGCTTTGGATATTAACTAAAACCTTACAGTCTAAGCTTGATGGAACCTACACTTGTTTGCTAAGAGCAATACTTAACATCTCTTGGAGACAACATCCAACTAAATCACATTTTTATAATAGCCTAAAATAGAGATTTAATAAAGAGCATTTATAGTGGTATAACTGGAATAATATAATTGTAAGATTTAGTGCCTGCAAAATTCTAAACCCCTAAAAATAGACTACCATATAAAGACTTGTAATGTTCTGGGAAAATTGCTGCTCAAGAATAACTCAAAAACAACCCATAAATTTTGGCTGGATTACCAAATTTTACAGTCAGAGGAAACTGGATAAAATCTTCAAATCTCAAATGAGAATTAAGGATTAAATTAGTTCAGTATGAAAAAAATGAAATGTTTTTAGGATTTTTATCTAGAAATTTGCTGAAGTTGTTTTATTTTTTGTTTTATCATTACTTCTTGTTTTATTTTTTGTTTTATCATTACTTAATGAGCTATTTTTCTCTCTCCTTTATTGAAGGAGAAAGAGAAAATAACGCTCATTTATTTTGTTTTCTACTGAATGCTTCATACTAAAATTAAAAATGTACATATTTTTCATGGCTTGTATGTTGCATTTAGCATAACTGAGGCAGCCACCTAATTGTACCAAATTGCTCTATTCTCCTTGTCCCAAATAACTGCAATCAAATGTGGGTGTATTTATTTATTATCAGTCATTTTTCTCAGTTCATTTCCCTAAGGTCTGTAAGACATTGTGGGGTGGGGGTGCTGTATTTAGCCTAACCCTGTCATGCTGGTCCTTAATGTATTGGTAAGGGGTTTTAAGTCAGTTTCCCATCTCTTAAAATGGTTGCCCTACCAATTATATAGAGATCAATATGCCCTACTATTTCCCCATAGCTAAAGGGAGAAAAAATGGAGTCATACTTCAACATGCTCAAACCCACACTGTAAATATCAACTCTTAAATTCTCACTGTTTGCATGACTTCTTGCATTATTTACAATGATGTTGCCATATATTATGCCAGAGTATACATGGTAGGTTGAACATTCAAAGCTGATATTTACAGGTGTAGTTTAGGGTGGATTGAATGTTAAAGGGTTAACAGTATTAGAAAAGTAAATGCAACAACTGTGACCAGAATTTGAACTTGGCCTGCATGTTCCATTTTCTGTACTACTGTTATACCATCTGTGAATCATTTATATATATATATATATATATATATATATATGAGTTTAGACCATGGCAAAATGTCGCGGTACCCGTATTTAATGCTGAGGTGCCCTTAAAAACAAGCCATGTACACACCAATTTTTGCTTTTAACTAAAAAAAAAAAAAAGTTTGTTTTTTTTTTTAAATTAAGAACAAAAAAATGTTAATTTTTTTCTTAATAAGGTGGTCATGGGAAGAAAAAAAAATTGACTAGAACTCTGTGCATATACATTTTCAAAGAACTCAATGAACTCAACCAGAATTCAGACTTGGATCCCTGATTTCTCATTCTGAGTCGCTATCTCCTCCCACACAAATTTATATTTTACTGTATTATGAAGCTTGGCCAAGTAGTAGTTGTCTGTTGTGTCTAGATAAACATTAGCTTAACAGATATCTCAAGTTATAAGATAATTTTAGCTATTTTTTGGGGAGAGGGCTGTGTGAAGTGCCCTCATACATCGTTCAATATGGTATTTATACAGATCAACTAGGAATTGCAAAAATTTCTAAAATATCTTTTGGTTTTGTTAGGCAATAAGTTGAAATATGATTTTTTTAAAGATTCCAATAGCAGTAGATGGGATGAGTGCAGATCCATAAACAATAAACTACTATGGGTTAAATAGCAGGGTAAACTAGTGCCTACTTAGTAACTAGTTTAAGAATAGGACAACACTGAATTAAAAACTGGATCAGTCAGTGGAAATCCTTCCAAAGAACAATCACAGAAATGCACAGTTTATGGATATTAACCTTTATCACTCTATATGCGACTTCATTAGCTGTACAAAATGTTTATCCTGCCACTGAATAGTGTTTGAACATTATAGTTGTGTTTTCATATCCTGCTATGGCATCAGAAAACAACTTTGAGTGAAATTAACAATAAGGATACTGCAATTGATAGGTCTTGAAAAAGAATGCAGTGGAAAAGGAAGTAATTCAGTGTACTAAAGGTTAAAGAAAGGAAACTAAAAAGAGTATTAATTACATACATCTTGAAGATACATGTAATTTGAGTAGGAGGAGCAGTACAGGATTAAAAGTGTTTGCACTCATGCCTAAATTGTTCTTTGACAACTATGAAAGCACCTTTAAGAATAGGTAATATATTCCTCCCTCATCTGATTCATATTATGTTCCTTTTGGCTATCCATAATACAAAGATTTGTTTTCTGATCTTCAGAGCAGAACTTAATAAAATATTCAAATTACCATCATCACTCCTTAACTTTTTCCTCTTAGTAACATTTTGCCCTTTCCTATTAGCCTCTCCCTGAGTACATTATCAGTTTCTGACATCTCTTGATATCTGTCACTTTGGGAATTCTCCAAAATCTTTATGTACTCCATTCAATCCCTCTAACCCACAGATAGAAACTATCTCTCTTCTTTTTTCTATGAGGAAGGGTGGGGATTGTCTCTTTCATCAGTTTGTCTCTTTTGCTTACTTCCTTGTAATCTTAACTCTCTGTCAAGCAGAACATCTCCCTCCTGGATCCTACCTTTGCCCTTGACTTCTACAAGACCATCACCATTACTGCCACCATCTTCATAAAAAGAAGAAGAAAAAAAAAAAAGAAAAATCTCTACCACCATCTACATCATTACTTCCTCTCTCTGTATAGTCACCAGCTATCAATACTATCATCACAAATGCCATCACTATCACTATCTCTGTAATCATCCTGCTACAAACTCATCTATTCTTAGGTTTCTAATATCACACCCAACTCTCACTTTCCAAGTTCAGCCAGGAGTCAAACCCTGGACTATGAAATAGGCTCTAACCTTCCACTTATTCCTTTCTTTTATTCCCTGTAACCTTTTGAAATTATCTTAGATTCTAAGTCTTATTTATTCATTTATTACTATTTTTATTTATTTATTTTATTTTTATTTGTTTTTATTTATTCATTTTAATATTATTTATTATATTATTATCTCATATTATTAATTTATTATTTTTATTATTATCTTAATTTATTATATTATTATTATCATAATTATTATTATTTCTATTCTTTTTTTAAGTTATTTAATTTTTTTTAAATCTGTGGTATTTAAATTAATCAAACTTTTTTTTATGTATCCAACCCTTTTCCCCACTTTTATTTAATTCAAATTTTATCTTAAACTTGTTTTAGTGTTTAGGGTAATAAACTTTCCTCACCTAATTTTAAGGATATGAGTATAATAGGTTATTTCTCAATAGATAAAAATTTACTTAGTTTCTGACCCAAACTAAAACTAGATAAAACTTTTTCATTCATTTAATTTCTCAAAATATATTTCCTTATTCTATGAATGTTATGGCTACAATCATTGGATTTCAATACGGTTACAGCCCTCTTATAATTACAAAATAATAGTTTGTATGTGCATGCATGCATACACAATAATGTACCACTTTTTGCCCATACTCTATACTAGAAGTTATTTACACAGCAGTAATTGCCTGCAAGATTAGTTTATTAATCATTACCTCATAGTAAGATGCCCTTAGCCATCTGTACTATGTCTCAAATGCCCACATCTTGAATACTGCTCCAATATCTGGTTGGTACTTCTAATTTGGTGCTTATGTTTTTTAGAAAACATTCCTTCCTTCTCTCTATTTTTGTGACAAAAATCAAATACGTTTGTTACACTGTCATCTTATAATTCTTACATCTTCTCTAGTTTGGTTCCATTAAATTTTCAGTTGCAGCCACAAATACTTTTATCTTTTCTAATAATTACCTTCTACCTATTCCTACACACATACACATTTATGAAATCTTTCTCTAAAGTACCCAAGGATTATGGCCGTATCATGTTAAAACATCGATTCCCATACAATCAGTGAAGTTAAGTGATCTCAAGCCTGGTCAGTACCTAGATGGGTGACCACTTGGGAATACCAGCTGCTATAAGCTTGGATGTGTGGATGGTGTAACAGATAATAGTTTGGAGTTCCAATTCCAATTGGATTTATTATATTCACTTACATAAAAAAAAATAGCGTTGGAAAAGGTATAAATCCACCTTCTACTAGCACCCCCACATCCCACCAAGTTTGAATTAATTGGTAGGACTTATATCAGTGAATCATTATTGGCTCCCAAAAAAATCTTACAGTCTAAAAATATTTTCTGGCTTTATATAATCTGAAAAAGGTTGATAAGTCATAAAAAAAAACAAAACAAATCTAGTTAGCTAGCTAATGTACCCAGTTATTTAATATTAAAAAAAAAAAATAGCCTACATTGGCAATGGCCCTTTGGTCCTCTTTTAGAATACTTCATTTGGGACCTCAAATAATTATCCCTTTGATTTTTCAAAACTGTCCCAAAAACTATTTGGGGATTGACATCAGATGTCTCATCATATACTCTTTAATCCATAGTGTTGTTCACAGTCTGAAATCTTCTCAATATTGATTTCAGCTTTGGGGAGGAAAAAAAAAGAACTTAGAGGGTGCCAAATTCAAACTGGGAGTGAGGGTTGCTTACTTTTGTGATACAATGCCAATGTTTTACTTTAAAAAGACCTACATGACACTTGAAGGATGTGCAGGCAACAGTCAAACATTAAACAAGCTCACTCAATTGTGTCTCACTGTTGTTAATGTAACCCAATAAGAGAATGTTCATACATGTACAGTATCTGCTTAGTTGTCAAGATACATCAAAATTGAATAACCAGTTTTTGAGATATTCAAAATGGCTTGATACTTTCTGGACAGACTATATATAAGATACTAAGCAAAAATTTGAAGAATTTAACAATAAAAATTCTACCTTGCTCTAACAGTTAATTTTCATTGTCTCCTTTGTACACTGGTTTACCAAAAGTAGTAGTAAAAGTTCATACATTCAGTTTGGGACATACTGTTTAAATTTCCGAAATTTTTAGGGAACATCTTCTATTATTTATTGTACAGGGTGTATCAAAAATACTTTTACAAACTTTGGGGGTGGCTTCCTCATACCAAAACAAGAACAAAAGTCCATATAAACATATGTCTGCAAATCCTTCGTTTTTGAGTTATTAAGTTTAAAGAAAGTTTATGGTAGCTGGCACTGTGTTGCCATCTAGACTAGGTTACATTTGTCATTCATGTACATTTGTGGATAGTCTGTCTTCAGCATTTAACATGTGTAGTAGTGAGTTAACTGAAAAGTGTTCTGTTTAATAATGGCAGGATATTCATATCGTGAACAGGCAGATATGATTTTTACATATGGCTACATGGCACTGAATCATCCAACCTTTGCTCTGTTTATTGTCATGCTGCTGAGACAGGTACCACAAACTATGGATCAATGAAGACCAACTCCACTTGTATACCTGACTATAAAGAAAACATTCTACAGGCTGTCAGAGACAATCCAGGTATTGGCACACATCAAGTAGCTCTAGTATAAAAAGATATTTATTTTCTTGAGTTTTGGTAAGAATTATTTTCAAAGTGCACCTCTTGTGCATGTTTATAATAATCTTATAAAGAACAGCAGAAAAGATTGTACAGTATTATGTTTCAATTTCCAAACTTTTGGGGCAGCACAAATACAAACAAGTAAACTAACATCTGCATATGCTCATCTTATGGGGGCTTATGTATCCTTATCAATTTCTCTTCAACATCTCAATATATTTAATAAAACAGTCACTTTCCCATCATTATAATGTATTTTCCCCATGCCTTTTCTATAAATACTTTCATGGTAATTGTTCTGATGAATAATTAATATGAATAAATATTAAAAGAATATGCATATATGTGCATATTAAGCACACATGAGTGCAAATATATATGTGTGCATGCATGCATGTGTGTGTGTGCACTTTTATACACACACACACATGCACATATATTTGGTTCTCCAGAAAGTAATGCCGATTTTTAGTCCAACACCTTAGAACACATCAGATTTCATCTGTGATTTTCTGTATAAATGCAATGAAAATGCACCCTTTTTGAAGCAAATTGTGACGGGTGATGAGAAATGGACTATTTACCTCAATGTTCAGCAAAAAAGATCCTGGGTAAGCGACATGAGCCAACTTTAGCCACCTCAAAAGCAGGTCTTCATCCTAAGAAGGTCATGCTGTGCATTTTGTTGGATTGGAAAGGAATCCTGTACTATGAGCTTCTGCCAAGTATCTAGTTAATTGGTTCTGAAAAGTACTGCTTGCAACTGGATGAATTAAAATCTTTATCTAGGTGGAGGCAAAAATTATCGCCATAGAATTCTCTCCCTTTACAGCTCTTGGTGCATTCTGTCGCCTAGAGAGGGTTGCTATAGATAAACACTTGTCAACTGTTATTTCTGGTATTTTAAGCAGGAAATAGCCTATTACCACTTTGGAATGAGCCTAAACTTCTGTTTTCCGATGCCATTTTGAATTCTTCTACACAAGATGTAACATCGATTAAACCCACGTTAATTTTGTCACATTTTGTTAACAAAAATGGCCACATCAACATCCAACAAAACCTTTATTTGGGAGTTTTTCTTTGATTCAAACTCAGATGATAATTTTGAAGGCTTTACCCAAGCAAATATTGACGGTGAAGTGGTCGGGGATAGAGATAATAAAGATGCTAGTGATGGGGGAGAAAAGCTGTGATGACCACTAAGTGCCAAGCAGCTACTATCATCCATGCCTGACTAATTTTATGGAAGTTACTGGTCCCATGAATGTACCTGATAGCCTTTCTGAAGGTCAATTATTTCATCTATTTATAAATGATGAAATAATAACTTTATTTATCAACAAGACAAATAAATATGCTAGTCGGGTTAAAAGCAAACAAATGCTGGTGTCTACTCATATGTAAACACATGGAATGATATCATTTTGACAAAATAAGCCATTTTGCTTCTTATTGCACCCCAGAACTTCACAAGGAATAATAAAAGTTAAAGTATGTTAAATTGTTAATCTATATATTTTTTTTTTGAATTTTTTTGTTTTCAATGTCAAAACAGGCATGCAAAACGTAATGCATTACATCAAAATATTACTCCTCCATTCTTTTATTAGTACACAAAGAAAGTTATGACAGTTTTAAAACAGTAGGTGCTTATGTTTTTTGTGCCCTAAAAAAAAATGCAGTGGCAGGGGGGAACAATTCTAGAAAGAATTTGATGGGGTAAAGGCAGCTATTCAAGAAAAATGCCCAGAATTGGCGAACAGGAAAGGTGTTGTTTTCCATCAGGATAATGCCAGACCTCACATTTCTTTGGCAACCCAGCAAAAATTGTTGCAGGTTGGCTGGATTGTGTTACCCCACCTGCTATATTCACCTGACATTGCTCTTTTGGATTTTCATTTATTCAGCTCCTTGCAAAAAAAATCTCAATCTTTTAATTCTTTGGATGATATAAGAAACAACATGAATGAGTTCTTTGCCAAGAAACCACCAAAATTCTGAGAAGATGGAATCATTAAGTTAAAGGAAAAATGGAGAAAGGTTGTAAAACAAAATGGTTCATATTAAGTTGAATAAATATTTAATTGCATAATTTTGTTCTATGTTTTAATTTGTTGACCTTCATTTCATTTTTGGTGTTACAACAAATTTTGTTGGTTTCTTCCTCAACTGCACTACACTAATCAAGGGAGTTGCAGTCTGGGAAGTTAGGCAACCAGATGTAAGGGGTGGTGTGGTCGCAGAAATTGTCTGACAAACATCACTGGGTCTCCTGCGTGTGTGGCATGATGTACAGACCCGTTGCCCGACATATGGTCTTCCAGCAGCCACCCTCTTGACCAGGGTAGCACTACCTCCTCAAGGAACTTGATGTAGACCTCACTGGTGAGTTTGAGGCCATGTGGGAAGATGAATGGAGGCATACTATCACTAGTGATCACTCCAGACACCTTCGTAATCACCATTAGACTCATCTGACTCTTTCCAAATCCTGTGCACTGTTCTCAAATTGACACCCAAACACTTTAAAGCGTGCCTTTCCAAATTTCTGGCAGAATGAATTACATCATGGTGCTCTTTTTCTCACAAAATCATAATATTATTATTTATCATTATAAATTAGTTTTCTTATGTTGTCTATGACCTGTATCTAGCTATCCAATTCTTATTCAGTCATCACAAGTTTCCTATTCTTTTTGACTTTTCCAAACTGTATTTTGAAATTAGTGCAAAAGCAATTAAATCACAGCAAGATATATTTCCTTTAAAAATAACCATTTCTTTTTTTTTCTCCCCAATGATATATAAAACTGAGAATATAAGATGATACTGAGGGAGAGAACCTTGGAGACATGTTGGGGTTAGTTGCTTCATACTCCTGGGTGTGCCTCTCTCTTTGTCACCATAGTGACATATACATTTCCATTTTAAATGTTTTAGCGCATCAAAGGCCACCCCTCTACTGACTGCATCTCATAGCTAAAAATTCTTTGTTCCTTCTGCTCACTATTTCTGTTTTTGTCTTTGAGCTGTAATGAGACACGGATTCTGGTTGTCTGAAAACAGGTCACATTATTTTAAAGACTGACATTAATATTTTAAAGTATTTTTTTTCTGAAATATAACTTGGAAAATATTGCCAAGGGTGCATGTATTGTTTTGTTTATTTTTTTAAATATTTGTGTTAATAAAACATATATGTAAGTTTATCAATAAGTTTACAGGCTGAACTTTGATCTGGAATTTTCACTGTATATTTGGTCTGTATGATTATTGAAAGTGAATTATTGAAAACTATCTATGTAAAAATATGTACACCAGAAATTGCTGAAAAGTTATTGATCTTATGAAGTAATCCTATCAAAACAAAAAAATAGCTGATGTTTGGTCATTTGGTCAAATTTTAGTAAGTGGGTTGGACTCAGTTTCTTGAATTCTCATATACTTGTATATGAGTTTTTTGAATTCTCATATACTTGTATTTTGATTG